TGATTTTCGGGGTTGGGTAGGTATATAGAGCGTGAAAGGGTATGATGAAATGTGCGTATATTTGATGTTCACAATTGCTGATGACGTTGTTGAGATCACAGTCGTTAATTTCCTAAGTGATCCCCGCATAGCAGAATTGGAAATGAATGGAGATGTTCATGGGTTAATTTGTTCTCTATCTAAATGAAAGTTCACTTATTTCCTCAGATACTGTCTGTAGGTCAATCGAGGAGGTGGAATTATCAATTCTCTGGAGTTTTGTCGGAAAATACCTCCTAAAGAAGCTACATCCCTTCAAATAGTTGACCCTGTAGACGTTTCCTTCTCAATAATCGTATATCTGAAACCGTTCATCAAAAAATCATGAAATTCCGTACATCGCAACAACTTTTGATGCAGAATCAGAATTTGAGCTGAGAATATTGAAATTTTATTCAGGGGCACACTATACTGGAGGTCGTAATGCTACGGCATCCTACATATAGGTTTTTCTATATATTTGCAAAATTGCTCACCCTGAAATATTGAAATTAGGTAGGTGTAAAAACAAGCTCATTTTTTGGTGATTGTTTTCAATAATCTGGTTTTGTCTCAACATATAGTTTCAACTTGAAATTTATCACCAACACGTTATATTTTTTTAGATAAACCAATAATTACCTCTATGTCATTGAATTGGTTGTCATTGATGGCTATTTTTGTTGTGATGTCTCTTTGTTTTTTTTTTCTAATTTGGCGGATCCTGTCATCAATAATTATGAGTATCTCGGATGGAAGTTAACTAGAAGAAGTAACCATACCATTTCAGGCAATAATATGACTATAGATCATTATGTAATACCTTCCAGATGTCTTCAATGAGGTTGAAATTTGAAGTGGCGAGATTTCCTTATTGTCAGCAGTCCGAGTACGACTGATGAGGTCTGGTGGACCGAAACAGTACTGAATTGCAATAGACAAATCGAAAATATCGCATGGTTTATGGGGTATACACTAGGTCATAATATGAGTTATAACTATTGAGACATAGGCTGAGAGCAATGAACTATTGCTGTGGAAAAAGATACAGGTCGTTAAAGTTGATTTTTTTGGTTGCCATTGATTTTTCTGTATATTAATCAGTTATCAAAATCGGTACAAAGGCATAATTTCATATCGGGAATATTACTCTATGTATTGTCACAGCAGGCGCCACGTTGATGATTTCTGATGATGAAATCGACTGGTAACTTTTTTACGAAATTGGTACTCTTGTTTGAACACAATATTTTCGTCAGTTCTCGAGAAAAACGCAATTGAACAGTTAACATTCGCGGAAGGGAATTTCGAATATTCTTTCATTTATGAAGCGTGTGCTTTGGACTGTCAGATAATTGTTAATTGTCACCCTGTATCTTTTTCCACAACGCAATATTTTGGTCCTTATAATCCGCCCTTAGCTTATGCCCCAATAGTTATGACTCACCCGTATAATGAGGAAAAATGTGTTGAAACTCATATTCAGTATTTTGAATTTTTCGTACTAATTCAAACACAGATGAGTAATTTCTCTCAACGTGATTGTGTTCAGCTCTCGTTTGTGTCCAATTTTCTGTTTATTGATGGCACCGATTTCGAGAATCGTTCGAAACACAAGCTCCCAATCAACGGGAACATTGTGTCAATAAGAAAACCTCGTCTCTGCCATTCCTCTCATCATTATCCATCACTTGGCAACTCGTCGCACAATACAACGGATTAATCAACGGAGAGTTTTTGTGTGTCTACTCCTACGCAAAAACAAGTTCTGCGCCGAGAGCATCCATATTATGGAACTGAAGGAACAGGAGTGTCTGGATTCTGAGAATTGGTGAATCAATCGATATCATGCAATCCCTACTCACTGAATCGAAAGTATGTGTTTGCTTCCTCATTTAAGGATACAAAGTTATCAATTTACTCCCACGGGAAGAAAAAAATATAAACTCCCGTGGGAGCTAAAATAAATTGGCTTCAGCATGCATCCTTTGGCGTCGATATACCTATAAAATCTGCGCGAATCAAGTAATGACGGTCTTCATCACTATTATAAAACAAGTAACAATAATATCCTCCACAAGGAGAGAGAAACTCAGTCATTGTCATTACCACAATAGTTCATTAATAAGGCAAAAAGACCCTACCTAGCAACTACTGACCGATCGCACTGCTGTCTATCATTTCAAAGATCATGGAGAGAGCTATCAACATCGAGCTCATGAGATACATGGAACATTCAGGTATTATCAACGATAGGCAATATGGCTTCTGTCATCAGAGATCAACGGGTGACCTGCTCGCTTACGTCTCACATATATGGCAGCAATCTATTGAAGAATATGGTGAAACCTTAGCCTTGGCACTTGATATCTCCAAGGCATTCGATCGAGTCTGGCACCACGGACTCCTCGCCAAGCTTCCATCTTATGGCTTGCCTCCCAAGCTATTTTCTCTGCTAGCTAGTTTTCTCTCAAATAGGTCTCTCCATGAAGTGGTCGACGGAGTTTCATCTGACTCTCTCATCATGAATGCTGGTGTTCCGCAAGGATCAATTCTAGCACCAACACTATTTGTACTCCATATTAACGATTTGTTGAGAGCAACTTCGTGTCCAGTACACAGCTTCGCAGATGATAGTACCCTCCATACCGCCATCTCTTCCAGGGCTCCAATATCAGCCAGGCAAATCAGAAACGAACGAGAGAGAAATGTTGACAATATAAATATGGCCTTGACATATGGACTCCCCTTGAATGGGGATCCAATAACTTGGTAGATTTGAATGCAAACAAATCAAAACAAGCCTTTTCTCTAGAAAAGCCGATCTCACTGTGCCCAACATAAGCTGGTCAGGAGTAACCATGTTTGGTATCACTATCAGCAATAACCTTTCTTGGGAAAATCACGTGAGATCAATTGCCGAAAGTGCATTCCAGAAACTTGGTTTTCTGTTTCGGGCCAGAAGCTATTTCACTTCCAGTCAGCTACTTATGATCTATAAGGCACATATCCGATCTGTCCTGGAATACTGTTCCCATCTTTGGACTGCAGCACCCAAACATACCCTGAAACTGTTGGATTCTGTCCAAAAAAGGGCTATTCGTCTCGTGGGTGATGCCTGGCTCACAAACTCATTCACTTCTCTGGAACACCGCAGAAAAATTGGCGATCTGTCTCTTTTTTATAGATATTTTCAAGGACGATGCTCTTCTGAAATATCAAAAATTGTTCCTTTCTTGGCAGCCCCCACGAGATTAACCCGTCGAGTTGAGGCTTCGCACCCCTTCGTGGTCACTTTGGAGACCTGCAGAACATCTCTTTCCAAAGACTCGTTCATCCAACGAACAGCGAGGCTCTGGAACACATTGCTAAAGGAGGTGTTGCCCGAGGCATATTACCTCCAGAAATTTATGGAGAACACCAATTCTCACCTTTTGTCCCTTGGTTTTCACGATGTTCTCTGGACATCACAGGATATCCCTTTCCGTGGGAACCAGAACATAAAAAAAATGAACGAAAATGGTAGATAACGGGACATCAACTACTCTCCTGGCTATATATGCAACGCAGAACATCCTAAATCTATGCAATAATTCGTAAAGACGAATGAAATCGCAAGCCTTTCTTTCCTAAGTGGTACAAGAACGTGTGACTAACTGCAGATCGGTTTAGAGCAGTTGCCTCTCATCAGTGCAGTGCTGTCCCAGATAGCTCCTTAAACGCTATCTGGTGCGAACCTGACCCAAAGTTAACGCATCTCAGAATTTATACCTCACGAGGCGTTCATCGTCCGCGAAATGTACGCGAATGCCGAACGCCACCTGGCAAGGCAAAAAACACTTCAAAACAAGAACAAGGTGAAATGGAAGAGGCTGGTTGCCTGACTGGCATATATTCAACTAGGAAAAAGCCTCGTTATCTACTACTACTACTTTGATACCATAAAAAGTTCACCCTTTTCATTTCAATAAAATTGCACGGCACTGTCCAAAATAATAATCTTCTTTGAAATAAGGAATCATATTGATGTTCATTCATATCGATACAAATTTGGTGAGAATCGCATTAGTAATAGCTGATATTGTATAGAAGGAGGACAGTTTGAAGTGAGACCTTTTAGTACGTGAATTTTCGTCAATAGGTATTATTCAATATCATTCACACATTTCCTATCAAAACACGAAGCAACGCACACATCCAAATAGCAGTTGGAATGAAAAGCGACATTCGCCTTCCTTATTCGATTTCCACGAAAAATGTCAACTCGCGACTGTCGAGGCAACTGGAAAGCTCAGTCACCGGTATATACGTTTCGAGTTACAGCTACTTTGAATTTCCATCAGCAAAGAGGATCATGTATCCAAGTCACAGATATAATGAATAACGGTGTAATTCTTGAGGAACATGAAAAATTCATGAGAATAAAAATGATGACGCTCTTCCAAGAAATATTTTCCCGTAGTTCGATCCTCCTCCGAAGATTTCTCATGTTCCTTATACAAACATCATTTGTAACGATCATTTATTCATGTTGATTCACTGATATGAGCTAGTATGTTCCTTGAAACATCGCCATTATAGTATTCACTAACGATCGAACATCAAAATGAGAGAGCATCAGAATAACGAACCTATTTTGAATAATCATATCATATAATGATCATGAAATGAGCATCGAAAATACATGTGATACTGTAACATTCTCGAGAAACATCCAGTGTCATCCAGTCTCTAATGTTTTTGCGATTAGGAAATAAATTCACCATAACGATAATTACTGCAATCTAGTTCGCATTTCAACGGAACCGAAATTGTGTGCATCTTGATAATTAGAGGTAATGCTATGTACAATTTCATGCTACACATTTATATCTGCTTGACAAATTTTTGCTCCGCATTTCCATCCACACGGAAAATCAGATACCCAGTCTCTTTTCCCCAGCACATGAAGACACATAAAAACAGTGAGCACGGTCGATATAATGAAAGAAAAACTGTTGTTAGTGTTTGTGGCTGTTCATCTAGGAAATGTTCTCAGTGATTTCCTCAACCAAGTAATCGATGTCGATGACATTCTATCGGAAAACTTTATGCCGAGCTCTCTGCTCATGCTCGACAGTTCCGATAGCGGCAAAGAGGCTACGAATATTACTAATCAGACGGCAGATAGTACCCTCATAGACACTTTAGAGTCGGATGGGAGCTTTGGAAATGCTATGTCAACAATGAATTTCCACAGGTCATATTTCATTTTACATTACTCGTAGAAACCGTACTAAAGACAACGATACTTTTCTAGGTCGATGATTAATCAATATCTGTGCAGAAATTTTCTGGCTGAACAGATTATGTCCAACTTAACCGTAGACCGGATTAAACGTAGAATGGGTCACGTGACACCTGGTATAGGGGAAGAGAGGGCAGCCTCTAACATCCAACTGAACGTCAAAAGAAACCTTATCAGTGACGAGGGATCTTCAGCTTACAAGGATTGGCTATCAAAGTAAGTCGACCCGAGACAATGATAAAGTTTCTCATCAGCGTGTTCCACGTAGGAGCACTACTTTAGAAGACATCTATCGCAATTTCGACCAAGCTCAGGATAAAGAAGATGAGGAAGAAGACAACGATAAAGGAGAAGAGATGGAAGAAGATTATGTTCCACCTGTGACGAGGCCTAAGGAAAGCAATGCAGTTACCCTTAAACACAGGGGGCACCAAGGAGGAGAAGAAATCTATTATTCAGCAGGTGAATGTTTATCACTACAGAAAATCTCTATGAGTATGTTTGCCCACTTTGAATACATACAGATAACTCAGTAACAGTGACATTGATGGCATTATTATTTGTCCAGGAGATTTGTGTCAGTTTCACAATGGGTCAAATAACTAGATATTATCACACCTTCATCATTTCAACGCTTTTCAATCTCTATCTTCCAATACTTTCGATTCAAAATCCGGGTTGATTGAAAATCGAATACTTTTTCAAAGGTATATTTTCTGATGAATTATTGAATCTTTCAGTTTACTCATCGTTGAATTTGTGATTTCAGGTGGAGAAGGATCTTCTTTTGGGGGCCATGATTTGGGAGGAGGCCACAGTGGTATTGGAGTAGGCCATAGTGGTATTGGAGTAGGCCACAGTGGTATTGGAGGAGGGCATAGTGGATACGGTGGAGGACATAGTGGATATGGAGGACATAGTGGATATGGAGGAAGCTATTCTGTTCATGAACCAGGAGGTATCAATTCACAGTCATGTGATCACTTTCCTCTAGTCGCCAGTATTAACTACTTATGGTGTACTGATAGAAAAATGTTCCAAAAAAATACTGTTATTCAATAGGTTATGAGAGTTATGATTAGATATAAAGCCCCATCGGAGTACAATGTATCCATGATGAGAATATAAAATTCCAGGTCATTTGGGGTACGACGAAGGTCCAATTCACCAGCCCGTTTACGAATCTACACCTCCTAAATACCAAGTACATCAGGTGCATAATTACTATAACAAAGAGAAAGATTTGGCCGATTTGTTCGAGATAGCACTAACAGCGCTGGCCTTTTTGGCTTTCAAAATGTTCCTTGTGCATGTGATAATGTGCATCAGTTCGGTAGTAAGTACACACAAGATAATTAGACTTATGAATTCACTGCATGTTATACAGGAAGAAATTCTCAGAATGGATCATGTGTGACAAAGATAATTCGTATAAAAAGTTTCACTGACGAGGTCTGTTAGAGCGTAGCAGCTATCTGGTGTTTCTGACATACACGTCTGGCAAGAGAATTCTTTCCATGGGGAAACAATCTATTGAAGTAAATACTCCTTGGAGGTTCACAAGTACCTGATGTTCTGGTTCCCACAAAAAGGGATGTCCTGTAATGTTCAGAGAACAACGTGAGAACCAAGGAAAATAAGATAGGAATTGGGGTTCTTCTTTAATTTCTGGAGGTAATATGCCTCGGGAAACACCTTCCTTGGCAATGTGTTCCAAAGCCTCGCTGTGCGTTGGATGAACGAGTCTTTGGAAAGAGATGTTCTGCAGGACTCCAAAGTGACCACGAAGGGGTGCGAAGCCTTAACTCGACGGGTTAATCTCGCCGGGACTGCCAAGGGAGGTACAATTGTTGATATTTCAGGAGAGCATCGTCCATGAAAATATCTATAAAATAGAGCCAGATCGCCAACTTTTTCACGATGTTTCAGAGAACTGAGTTAGTTTGTGAGCGAGGCATCACCCACGAGACGAATTGCCCTTGTTTGGACAGAATCCAACAGTTTCGGGGTATGTTCGGATGCTGCACTCTAAAAAAATATGGGAACAGTTTTCCAGGACAGGTCGGATCATAAGCAGCTGACTGGAAGTGAAATAGCTCCTGGCCTGAACAGAAAACCAAGTTTTTGGGATGCACTTTCAGCAATTGATCCCAGTGATTTTTGCAATTTTTGCAATTTTTGCTGATAGTAAAACCAAGCATCGAAATGGATGTCTTCAAAGGTATGGTTACTCCTGAAAAGCTTATATTGGGCACAGTGAGATCGGCTTTTCGAGAGAACAGGCATGCTTGTGTTTCGTTTGCATTGAAATCTACCGAGTTATTGGATCTCCATTCGAGAATTGTTGCCAAGTCCATATTTATGTTGTAAATATTTCTCCGTCGTTTAATTCTGATTTGCTTGGCTGATATTGAAGACCTGGAAGAGGAGGTGGTATGGAGGGTACTATCATCTGCGAAGCTGTGTACTGGACATGAAGTTGCTTTCAACAAATCGTCGATATGGAGTACAAATTGTGTTGGTGCTAGAATTGATCCTTGCGGAACACCAGCTTTTGTGATAAGAGAGTTAGATGAAACTCCGTCAACCACTACATGGAGAGACCTGTTTGAGAGTAAACTAGCTAGCAGAGAACATAGCTGGGGAGGCAAGCCTACGTATCGTGTACGCTTAGTAGCAAGTCTGCCACACGAGTAGGAATAATGACATCATCCCTCACTTCGCTTTCTCTCTTTTAGATACCTATGAATCTTTATGCGTATTCAGTTCAATAGATGTTTTTCCTGAGAATTATTTATTATCACGTTGTATTACGTTGTATTACGTTGTATCGGGTCTGATAACAATAACTTCCTCTCGTAGTCCTACAAACCAACGACAACGACCAGCGCCCCCGTGATAGCGATGAGCATGAACCCGACAGCGACAGCTCCTGGAGGTATGACAGGCACTGGTGGAGGGGGTGGCATGACAGCAACCGGCACAGGGGGTGGTAACACCAGCACAGGGGGTGGTAACACCGGCACCGGAAACGGTATGACAGGTACTGGGGACGGTATGGCAGATACTGGAGGGGGAGACGGTATGACAGATATGGGAGACGGAGATGGTATGACAGATACAGGAGGAGGAGACGGTATGACAGATACGGGAGGGGGAAACGGTATGACAGATACGGGAGGGGGAGACGGAATGACAGGTACGGGTGATGGAGACGGCATGACGGACAATGGAGGAGGTGATACCACTGGGACGAATAATGATGGTGATGGTGATGGAGGTGATCCAGATGCAGGTAGGAGGTAGATAATAATTTCCTTATTCGTCAATAGACCTTGTCATTCAGATGACAAATGTTTCCTGTTGTTTAATTCGAGAGATCACTTTCAGCAGAAGCGATCAATGTTTTTAACATATAGAATGCATGTATTTATTTGAATTCAGGGCAAAGTTTCTTCATTGATTTACATGATGATATACATACTATCTATGAAGTATCAAGAAGACTGTGTTCATTGCTTTAACAGATCAAATTCATTCTGTTTATTTCTTTTCAATCTCAACTATTTTCTCAATTCTAACAGATATTAATGTCACAATAAATGGTATATGAAACACGAAAGTCGATGAGTTTGAAGTACAAGGCACAGCTATTGATGGTTGAGAGAATTTCAAAATATCGCAACTTTTTCAACAGATCAATCACAGAAAGTAGCCAATGACTTTTCACGTTCGTATAATATTCAATCAGGATGTAGTTCTGAACACAAGCGTGTGTGCCCTTCCAAATCACTGAAAACTGAATGCCAAGTACTATCAATGTAAATATCAATGACAATGGTGGTATATCAGGAAGCACAACTAGTAGTATACCCGGTCACAGTTTAACCCGTTCAAAAGAACCAGTTATCTCTTTATAGTAAAATTTCGTGACCATATCGAATCTGACAACAGCCCACTCGTGGCATCTGAATTATTCTGATTGCACAGAAGACTAAAACGTAAAAGTCATCCATGGCCAAGTCACTGAAGAGTTAACAACCTGAAGGATGTCTCCCATGCAGTAATGAATTTGTACCTTCTTGATGCGCAGCTGATGTTTGGTTAGATATTTGTTATTTTCATTCCATCAGCTCTATAATTCGATAATTATGAGTCCTGAAAGACTAATTCCAATAATTATTATGCAAAATACCGACATCTACAGTTTCTGAGTTTGGTTGTTGAATATTTGAGCGTTGAAATCATGGGCAATCTGTTGCGTGTAGCATCAAATTATGGTTGCGTCCAAAACAAAGCTTTTAGTAAGGGACATTGAAGGTTCCGGCAATGAGTGAGATCTGGATCTTTGAGCATTCTACTGTGACCTGATAGAGTACAACAGGTGGTAGCTCTAGAAGCAAGACCAATTTGAAGCTAGCTTTTTGCGTAGTCGCACAAGTACTTTTCTAGGTACAGGAACTGGTGGTACTGGTGACACCGGCGCTGGAAACACTGGTACCGGGGATACGGGAGCAGGAAGAGATACGTTCAAGTTCAGAACGCGGAGGGAAGTACCAGCCACGAATGAGGCAGGTACTCAGGCACTTAACGAGCTGGCAAGAAAAGTTCTGATTGCAATGGATAGCGCCCTTGTAGCGGGTAGCGATGAGGGAGAATGCTTGCGAAAGAGTTTATGCGAAAACAACAAATGGTCGAGAAGTTTGAAGGGGAGAAGTAGGATATTTGTGCCGGTGTTGAGGTAATTGGAAACATTATAATTCTTATGTATACTTCAAGAAGGCAAAGGTATTCATTTTCTCTCGCGTGTGAAGTGTGATGCTCGACGCGTAGCAGAGGACATGGACAGCTTTGTTTCCTGAAATCAGGGAGCAGAGGTCTACTTTCGAATCATAATAGTTATTTTTGTATCTAGAGCGCGAAATGCTACTTTGGTGATCGAGATCTAATTTTTTTAACGAGGCGTAGCCGAGTTGAAAAAATAGTCGAGATGACCAAAGTATTTCGCGCTCGAGTTGCAAACAACATTTTTTCTACAAACCTCAAAAAATATTGTTCTAAAGTGGAGATATGCTCAGCTTGATATAAACAATAGTGTTGAACAAGCTTTGATGGCCTCCCCCTATCCTCCCTAGGTACGCACGAAAGTTCCACGAACATAATAGGAATTTCCTTTCGTGCGCTCCAAGAGATAAAACGAAGTTATTTATTGAACATTCAGTAATAAATGATTCCGTGGATGTTTGCTCGATTGTGGACCATTAAGTTGAAATATAAATATCTCATATATTTTACATAACAGTGCGCGAAGTAGGTACTTCGCGCACTGTTTTACTTCGCGCATTGTTTTGTGCAAGGTATCATTGTAACGTAGGAAACTGAAAAAAAGTGTCACTTCGCAATTTGTTATCAATGCGCGAACCTTGTCATTTTTTGACGTTTGTAGAAAAAAGCTATTTATGTATCAAAGGCATAAAATATGCTTTGATGGAGCTATGCGTGTAAGTAACACGCATAGGTCCATAAAAGCAAGTTCATTGTTGTTGTGTATTGCTTACGGACTCTAACAATACGTACGCTAGTTCACAATAACACATTTATTAAGAAAAATATGATACATCGATTATAACATATAACAGACAGTTACTAGACTTTTCCTGACTGACATGTATATATCTGCTCCCAGCCTACCTCAAATACAAAGTGTCCTACTCATTACATAACAATTGTGAATACCTCTTCACATCTCACATGGCTGCAGTGAGGAATATCATTGATGGAATCGACGATACCATAGTAGCTCACTCAATTTTCTTGATTTATTATTAGGCTTTTATATTTGCTGTCAATTGATGTCATCACATATAACTTATGTTGGCTTCGATCATATCTTTTTGCATCTCAGAAATATCAAGAGAACTGTTATGTTGAATAAGGAACCATACCAACTGATACATGAACGTCTTGAATTGTACAGGAATGCCTATTACGAGTTAACTGGCGTGCATAAAATTATTAATGATTAGTTATATTTGTTCTCAGAGAAGGGTGTAGGTAATGATGTAGATATATGGTTTTGTAGTGCTGATACATGCCTGATGTTCCCAGTCAATAATTCGAAATTAAGGATGCATTATTGAGAATCAAGTAGCACAGTCAATAAATACGCGTTTTCAAGGTCGAATGTGTATCAGAATGCTCTTAAAGCACTGAGCTCCAGCAAGATAAATTCCAAGCTTGTATGGAGCTGTATTGAATCCCTAGAATGCCTGGGTGCTAATAACAGAGTCACTTTGCTGTGGGTGCCTGGACACCAGGGGGTGCAGGGTAACGAGAAAGCCGACATCCTCGCCAAACAGGGAACCGAATCTGTGTTCATAGGACCAGAACTATATTTTGGGGTCACCGCAAGTGCGGCGAAAACAACTATCTCGGGCTGGGCGGAGGGAAAAACACTCACGTACTGGTCTGAATTACCAGGATTAACCCATTCGGAGGCGTTCCTGCCTAAACCATCGGAAAAAATAACCAGGCAGATCCTAGAATGGAGCAGGCGTAACCTGCGAATTCTGACTGGACTGCTTACGGGACACTGTCGTCTAAGATGGTAATCTAAGAAGAATGGGTCTGAACCAACAAACGGACTGTCGGTTCTGTTGTGTGGAAGACGAAACGGCTGAACACAATTATTATGTTATGCTTTAGCTTAGAAAGACTAAGGTTCGACACATTTGGCTTTACCAATATAGAACCTATCGATTTCAGACAAATCTCAGCCAATTCAACCATGAACTTTGTAAAAAGATGTGGTTTGTACGGTGAACTGTAACCTCTAGGGGTGAGCCACAGTAGACCCATCTGGGGTCGCAGTGGAGGGGAGGTATTCGCCCCACTCACATGGAACCTAACCTAACCTATATCACCTGACGAAGCTACTGTGTTAGCGAAACATGTCGTGTGTATGACAATTTTGTGGAAATCTTATCGTTTGTGAAGTTTTTACAATTATCAAGCTATTTGAATGATTTGACAAAACTGAATGAATGGATATACTATCAGGCCCATGAAAAAATATTGATGCTATAATAGGTGAAAGTGTGATAAAAAATGTCTGAGCTTAATTACCAATAACTACCTTGAGTAATTTCTTCCGTAAATGTGCCTGATTATCAGTGAAGGCAATATAAGAAATTCAAATTGATGAATCATTATTTTAGTTTGGGCATGAGTTGGTTATCCGGAAAACTAACCAAGAATGTTCCACCAGCTACTTCTATGCTCGACGCTCTGAAGGCATCTTTGCTCGGATTGGGACATGCGAACTGTGAGATCATTTATCAAAGATGTGATTTGAAGAAGCACGTTTTGGAATCCAGAAGAAAACGGAGACGAAAGAGATCAACAAAATGACGAAAACGGAGAAGTATAGAACGATGGTACCGACATATGAATCATTATGAATCTAATAACACAACTGAAGAGGCAATTATTGTAATTGAAATGATATATTTATATAAATACTCATAGTGACTATCCAATTAGAATGTGATCTGTCAATCAGGCTGAAATAATGTACGTAACAATAAAGAAGTCACTTTTTCGCTTCAGTGTTTTCGTTTTGAAGTCATGCATTAAATGTAACTGCTCCTGAGGAACGTGGAACAAGATGACTATTTCACACTCCTAATCTCAGCACTCATTACTTGGTCGGATTGTCTCTCGATTGTAATGGAATGGAAGAATCAAAGTGTTCCTCTAGTGCAGACTCAAACAGCACAAAATATTCTATGAATGTTCTCACAACGTTCACAACATACCTCCTTCAGAATATTCCGAAGAACGTTCATAGAATATGATGAGGATTTAAAAACTTCACAAATGATAAGATATCCACAAAATTCTTAAACACACAACATATTTCGCTAACACAGTACCTTCGTCAGGTGATACGATTTTTCTCATCAGAGTATTTGAATAATATATTCTTCATGAACATACCTGGGAAACATGCCTAGATTATTCGAACAATATATTCTATGATCATTCCTGAATAACAATCATAGAATATATTATGATGAAATAGCGATTTTGATAAAACTTGTCTGATCATCTGAGTTAGCAATGGGGCTTAGTGAATTTTGAAGTTTCTATTTTATTCATATTTTTGGTGTCCCTTCCAGGGCTTCGTATACTTCCCTCTTTATCTATCCATGAAATATTTTTCATGCGCTTAAAAGCATCCTGTATACTTATAGAATATTCTCAGATCATTCTGAAATGTTCAATATATTCATAGAATGTTCTGAGAATGTTGTGAAATATATTATGAGAACGTTCTTGGAACGTGAATTTCCCTTGTGAGAACATTCTGAGAACATTCGATATCTTTTACGATAATATTGTGAGAACGTTCTAAGAAACAGTTTGTGCTGTCTGGGAAGGATATGAAATAAATATGAATACTTATAACACGATTATCGTTATCAAGTACCAAATTTTCCAGCATCACTATGTTAAATATGATTATAATATGAAGATGTATAGTTCGATCATCAGCTCCAATTCAAACTTTCTTTGTTTTTTCGATAGTGAACTACACTGCTTATCGATAAATTCGCTAGAAACTTTTTCCACAATATGGTTGATCGTTGATCCCTGAACGGTCTTCTATGATTGTTGTTAATAAGTTTTCGCAAACTTTTTCATCCGAGAAATTTTCATAGACCGTCCTCATCATTTCGAACTTTATCAAGATTCACCCTTTCGATTTCGGGGAGATCGTCCAATTCGTTGAATACAGAAACGAAAGGGATGACCATTTAATAATTGAATAAAGCTCCAGTTGCATGAAGCTAAGTACGTTGTCACTTGCCATGGACCTATTCAATCGTTTCTCAAATGCAACCGATCTCAAGACTAATGTGTCTCATAGTCACATACATTAACATTAATGGTCAGTATTTCATTTGTTTTGTATTCGATACATCAAGTGTTGGTGAATTCAGAAAAAAATAAAACGTTTGTATTGAATGATGAATGAAATAGTAGATTGTTTTGCTTGAATCAAAAGTGTCACTTTGTTTGTCAAGCAAATTTTGGTTTTGCGTGGCGGAGTGCCGAGCGAAAGCAAAATTATTTCGTTGACCTCAGACACTTATATTCATATTACGGTTCTATTCACACGTGAAATCTATCGGATTTCGATGATAATTAGTTTCACAACAGCAAAATTATTCTAAAATTGTTCTAAAAGATATACGAATTACAAAAAAGAATAATGAAATAAACCTTTGACGTCAAAACATTATGTACTTTTAGTAAACAGAATAGTAACCTATTTCCAACAAAATAAAAATAAACAGAACGAACATTCTCATAAGAAATTAATCATATTCCTAATACTCAATTTGAAAATACTCACAAATATCACAAAATAAAATTGTATGGGTAATTAAATAAAATTTGAGTATATTGAAACAGGAACGGATATTAAAAATGAACAACAGAAATACAAAACAAATAAAAAATATATCGTAAGATATAAACTGTTATAACACTGGTATAATAAAAATTCAATTCGATCTGAATCAAATGAATCATTGTGCTTTTTTAGTTTATACATATCGCTCACCGGCAACAATAGTTTCGAAACTCAAAATTGCATATTATTATGGAGAAAACTGCGTTTGAAGTATGAGCTATCTCAATTTCTCGTGTTGTAATAACATTTGAATATCATTCATGGACTTGCTGATGATGATTCGTCAGTTATCATATGCATAATCATTGGGGATTATTAAGTTATCTCTTTGTTACGAAAAAAGTGATGTTTGTAAGAAGTGCCATTATTGTTGAAACCACATTATACAGTTTGGATGAAAATTCGTAAAACGTGTAATGAACACTCCGAAGTTATTTTCAAATAGAATAAAAATGTACCAGATATACGATTGCTTTATAGGAAAATACCAGGCATTACGGTAACCAATAAAATATATAAACCAAACGTATTCAGCATACTGGCATATTTGACTAAAATAACAGGAGACACAAAGTTATAATGGCATAACTTGAAATGTGCCACTCATGCTGAAACGAAATCGTTGCTACATCTTGAATGTCACTTTTGCTCAAACATTATGAATCAGAGTCAACAGCACACCGACAATACGCCGGTGTTGATGCAAATTAAGGGGCTCAGCACGTGGTTACTTGTAATGGCACAAGTGCCATCTCGAAAATACTATCTGAACTAATTTTATGCCAGTATTCATCGATGAAATTTGATCAAATTTCAAATTATTGCACGTGTTTCAACATGTTTTATGTTCTTTTGAGATGTGCTAAAGGGCTTTCACGCTGGGTTGATATTTGCACAATACTTGGTAACAATGTCGTGCCAAAACTGCACCTCGAAATGGGCGAACCGCGTTATCGATATAAGTTGGCAAAACTGTACACCGATGCCAGATTTATTTGACATTTCTCTAAGGCAAGATACTCCAGAAATATGGGCCAATGGTGTTCGCCATACTGAACAAATAATTCAAAGTTGGTGGGAGAGAGAAAATATTTTGGATTTACAATATATTCCATGAGTGATAATTGTAGGAGAGGATGATTCTGATGATAGTGGGAATGATTTTGATGAAAGTGAAGAAGATTAAATGACATTTGAAATTTTTTAGTATGCTATATATTTGGGCTAGAAAATTGTATTATTCAGTGTAAGATTATATCTGTAGATTAGGGTTAGAAAAGTGTATTTATTATATAGTGTTAGTTTATTGTAATGTTATAGTGGTATCATGAGTTTTTGTGGGTTTTCCTCATGAATTATATTGAGAATATTGATGTAAGAACAACTCTTGCTGTTTATTTCATGATTTCCAATATAAGTAGATGCACCACTATTTATTTTTCCACGAAATGAAATCAATTGATCGAATTTCTGTTTCATTTCACCAATTTATAGTAATTGAAAAACATTCAAAACGATTAGATCGCCTCAAGATTGAATTCGAAGTTTATATTTTTTTCACTCAGTAAATGTGAATACTGATCAGTTTTATTCAAAAAAATAAATTCAAGACATAATAGTGTATATGTAAAAAAATAAGTTATTTTTAATGTCAATATCTGTGATTGCTTGTTGTTGTTGTTATATTATAAATAATTCTTCAAGTTATTATTCTTTATAAGAATTTCATCATCATCAAATTTCATATTCTGTATATTGTTTAGGTTCATGGTTCATTAAATACAAATATTGAAGTTCATTCATCATCTTCAAGTGCTGATTTTGAAACATTAATGGATGGCTTTTGAGTTGGTTCCAAAAAACATTATAACGTCCGACGATCATAGCACTAGACATATCCATATTCGGGCGGTTGGTCATTCAGTCATTTCCTTTCAACTGGCAACACTGTATGTGTTGACATATTGACGTCACTATCAACTCTTCTTGGAAGCTCTTTACCATTGTCGCCGGAGAGCGATACCAATAGTACCAAATCAATTCAAACAGAGCGTGCCAAAATATGATACAATTTAAGTGTATGTGATAAACTAAAGATCAATAATCATATAGGTGATTGATGTAATAAATAGTGGCAAAATATTTTTCAGTAGATCAGTAGATCAATATGCAAATTGGGAAATCTGAAAATCAGTAGAACTGTCAACCCTGCAGCACTCGAAGAGTGTTTGTGGACGAAATATTAGTGTCTGCGGTGGAAAAGTACTTGCATCCGGGAATTGTCGTTTTTTTGTTCGGAAATTAGAACGTAGAATGTGATTTTTTGTAGAGGTCGACGACATAAAATTGTCTATCCTATCGTCTCGGTATTCAACGGTTCGCCAGTAGATGGAGAATGGGTGCATCGGGGCGCTGATTAGCCTTGTAGTCAGTCGTAGTCGACTAGTCGCAGCCGTAAATCGAGATTGGCAGTTGCTGTGTTCGCGGCGGCGCAACGTAAGCAATGTGCACAAGCACGAAGTCATTAGCATCCTCTCTACAGCTTCAGGTTTCAGGTAATCAGTTTCGATCCATTTGTCGATGCTATGAGGGCCTTTTCCCTTCAGAAAGGGCGGCAGAATGCCGTTCTGATGGAACCCGGAGACGTTCGAATGAAAATCAATGCGGATAATTGAGAAGCGATCGCCACATCGCCAGTGTTATTCGAAACAGTAGATACACAGGGTGATTCTGATTAAACTATGTACATATCCGACATATAGGGTGTTTCATAGATTCTGACCTTTTATAGGTTCATAATCGACGAAACATCCAGTTTCAATATTTTGTCTGAAATTCAGGAGTTAAGAACGACCAACGTACTAGACAGTAAGAAGATTTTGATGTCAATTGTTTTAAAATTTGGAAAGAACATATAAAGCATAGAATC